TACTGGAAGAAGTCTGTGACTTCAGTGACAGCTGCTGTTGTAGGTCTCAGACTCAAAGCCGCAACGATTCTGGCACTGTGTGGGATGCTGCTTCTACAACATCAGTCTAGAAAACATACTGAAGTTCTTATCAGAAACCCCCTTGATTGCATTTTTTGCCTTACAGTTCCCATCTCTCTCCATTTGAACTCTGGTTTTGGTTGGGGATGTGTGTATGTATATTTGTTGCACTTCATTGTTCTGTCAAGCACAAATAAAGTTTTTGTTTCCCACTTGATAAAAATACTATTTCCTGCACTCTCGTAGACTTCAAACTTGCTAAAATATGCTGAAGAATGTCTTGAAGACTTAGTGCTCAGGGATCAGCAACGCGTGTGCAAAATGTAGCTTACAGCATCGGCTGTTCAGTAGAGCAGAAACCCTAGGACAGCAAAAATACTCACAGTTTTGTTGGCATATCTTATATCTCTATAAAAGTTTTCTAAAAGCTGAATCCTCTGTGATCCACCAAGCCAAATCAAAATTTTAGGCTCACAATTCAAGTTACAGAACATATGTATGCTGTTTAACAGTCCTCCAGCGTAAACATACTATATGTTTCAGTGCTTTCATCAGTAGTGCTTGACTTCGCATTCTGTGACTGTTAATTAGCATTGTTCTCCACTTTTTAAACTTTGCATTGTGATCCTTGCTGTCCTTACAATCACAGCTTTGTGCAAACATAATGCTCATTTTGTTCCCGCTGAACTAGCAAAGTCCTGAATTTCCTGTCTTTGCAGGAGACCTGTAAAAACATACAAGGAAACAACACTTTATCATCTTCATGATATATTTTCTTGAGGATACTCTTCTAAGACATAGAATGTCCATGCTGTGGCCAAAGGAGTAGTATATCCCAGATACCTGTACATGTAGTTTCCTTGTGGTGTCGAAGACAGCGTAGCCACAGAAGCACAGAGCTAAAAGCAATGGGTGAAATCTGCCTGGGACCTTGTCAGGAGCCTCCATGGATTGCACTCCCTGCTGCTGTGGCAATGCTGTCACTAGGTCACCCGGCTAGTAGTGTCCCAGCTAATCCAAAACTAGCTCAAGCATCTCTGCAAGCTGTGGTGTTGGCTGCGCAATGAACCTGCCAGTAGAAACAAAACACAATGTGGGAACCACGTAGCAGATGATGTGTTTTGTGTTTGAGTAATACGCATACTCGCTTGTGTTATGTGTGCTTTCATTATAGGTTTTATTAACTTTAATCTTAGCAAATAGTCATTTAACACAAGCACCTTTCATAATCAGTGAAGATATGCTTTGATACTCAGATATATAAGATCATCTAAATTCCAGATTTATGTTGTATTCATGAAGAGGAATTGCAAAGTTCTTTTTTACCTTTAGAGCAAAATTTGACATTAGTCCTTAGAGATCCCTATTCTTGCACAGTTCTAATTCAGATTGAGGTTCTCTTTGAGTGTCATATTGCAATTGCTGGATATCAACTTAAGGGATTTAAATGGTGACATCCTATTTAATTTTTTGTTTTAAGTGAGCAACCTTAGTTACGCTACACATCAGAGCAATGTTATTTGTCGATACAATGGATTTGACTATAATAGTTTTGTTTTAAAAATGAACTGCGTATCATGCCCAGATGAAACCAGGTCAGATAAGAAACTTTAATCTTTTAAAGAAATATAATTTTATCAGATTTCAGTTGCTACTTTTCAATAATACTGAATTCTGTGTCTTCAATCTTACAAACAAAACTGTGAGGCTTCAAAATTAAATGGTAGCAGAGTGTTCAGTTTTGTGATAAGTATCTGCATCAGTAAGAATTGAAAGAGAGACCAATGACATTTTTTTTCCACTAGTCTAGTCAGATCTCTTCTGTTGAATTGGAGGTTTTACAATGGCTTGCTTTGGAAGTCTTTGTTTTAACGGGCTGTTAGGACAGCATCTATTCAGCAGCTGGCTGGTTAGACATAGGACTCGGTAACTTAGGAAACACTACTGAGCCTTTTTCTCTCTAATTTTTCTCATAGGCATAATTAAAGCAGTGAAGAGAAACTGAAGGAAGGAAGGATTACATGTCTTACTGATTAGAACTGTTTCTGAAGTATTTGGACACACTACGTATATGTATAGTAAAATCTAAAAAGGTAGGGTATCTTCTTTTTCTGTTTTATTTAGAAAACCTCATAACTTAGGAAAACCTCTTTCACAAGTCTCAGTGGGGTTACAAAAGTAATTTTGTATGTTAAGGAGGAATGTGAAGCCTAAACCATATTCTTTTAAGTGAGTTCTGTGGAGTCTTACCAAATTCTGCTGGGCTTTTCATGATAGGATTTTGATGAAGGCAGATTGCCTGTTAGTTCTTCACAAAGCTTCCAAATCCATTTAAAGGCTACTCAGTTTTATAAAATAGACCATGTAGGAGAAGAGAGTAGTCCCTCATGATTTCAGGATTAGCTGCAGTTTTGGCCTCTTTATCTTCCCAAATATTAAGTATTTCTCTAGGCATGTGGAGATTTCATGCTGTTGCCTCTGGAATGGAAGTCTACAATGAGTAGAGAATCTTAACCTTTTTTTTTTTTCTCACTATGAAAGCAACACATTAAGTGCAGTTCTTAAGTACAAAATCTGCTGGCTGAAAGTACCACAGCAATTGTCTGTAAGGACGTACAGAAGGCATTAAAATGGAAAGCAAACATTTGTATTTGAATTTCTATGATTTTTCTACTTCAGGTAGCATTCAAGTAAATAGAAACTGTATGTTTCACAGTGGCTGCTAGAACTATGTTCAAAGCAGAGTTCAGAACAAGTGCGGCTCAATTGTCTGCTAAAGTCTTTGCTTTCAGAATTCAGAGAATCTTGACATAAAGTTGGGATTCTGACATCCAGCAGTACAATCCCCAAATTCTCACTTAAATTTTTAAGTCTCCAAAGTATGTAAGTGTTTGCATTCTCATCTGTGAACTTCTTTCACATTAAGTTCTCTATATTTCTAGAATTGCTTCCAGGTCTTTTTGTGGATCTAGCTATACAGATTCATGACAAATACTGCTTTATTTCTCTGTGTTGTTTTAATAGGTTGAAAGGGTTTGGAGAGCATGGGTTATGATATTGAGCGTTTCGTTGGCTACGTTAATGAAGGGCTATTATGCTCCATCTGCCGCGATGTGTTAGAAGATCCATTACAGGCTCCTTGTGAACACGCTTTCTGTACTGCTTGTATACATGGATGGCTTGTTCATCACAGTAACTGCCCTGAAGACAGACAAATGATTGATGTATCTTTGCTACGACCTCTCTACAGGTATACAATAATCTTGCTGTATGTTGAAATTACGCTAATTTCTCAACTTTGCTTGCACAGCTTCATCGCTTGTCATTTACTGTCACTCAAATTGTCTTTATCCAATATGCCTGTAGCAGAAACCAATCACTTGCATGAAAGTGTTAGCGTTTTCTATTTATTATAACTCACTTCCAAGGTATTAAGATTTCAAAATGGAAAGAATGTTTAGTTTGTTCTCCATGTTTTTATATCTTGGATGCTGATTCTAGATATCTGTCTGGATATTATTCTGAATGTCTTCTACAGCACCAGAACTTTCCCATACTTTTTTAGAGAAAGCAGGCAAAGCAACTCTTGACCACAGTCACTAAACACTATATCTTTTGTTTTTCATTTCAGTCTTACCTAATACTGTAGCAGGATTTGTAAAGAATAATCACTCTAGATATGAACCCAACTTCTCACTTTCGTATCCTTTTTTAAAAAGGTCTTTAGCCATAAGAACATCTGTCTTGAGCCACCTTGTCATGTAAAGCAGGTTGTTTTCACAAGTGTCTTCCGTAATTCCTTGCCAGCACACAGTTTCATCAGGAGATGCTGCTTGCTGTTTAACCCCTGCATTGTCTCATCTTGCTCAGATTAACAGTTATGGTGCGTTTAAAACCTTCAGCCACAGATGTTAAATTAACTCCATTAGTACTCCCAGTATTTTTGTCACTAATGAGATTTTATTGTGTGGAAAGTTGAAGTCTAGTGTAGACAGAACCCTAGAGTTTAATTTATGGATTGTTTTGTCTGTACTCACTGTAGTCACTTTGGTTTGGCATGTTTAGAAATGCAAAACTTAAATGACAAATGAGTAGCCCTAGTAGATTTGCTATTGGTAATATTTGCTGAGCTAGTGAAAGGTCACAGTTAAAAATCTATTCAAAAATAAAGATTTCATTTGCACATTTAATTTTGGAGACTGAATTTTCTATTAACATTGTTTCTTTTAAGCCTGTTCTTTTCCAATATGGTCACTTGAATTCTAAAAAAAAAAAAAAAAAAATTAAACTGATCATTTACAGTTTTTCCTGATGGAGATTAGAATCTTACTTTCTTTTCCCAAAAACTGAAAATATAAATTTTTCAATAGTGTTCCTAGATTTAAGAACAAATTAATTTTTTTTTTTTTTTTGCTCATAGATATATGAAAAATGATTTAAACCGTCTTCAGCTACATTGCAAAAACAGAGACTATGGTTGTGAAATGGTTTGTTCTCTGGAGTCTATAGACAGGCATGAAAGGGAGTGTGAGTACAGTCAGATACCTTGCTCCAATGCTGGTGAGTAACATTCAAAGAAGTTGAATCCTTTATATTCAGGAAACGTGTGTTTGTCATCTTTCTGTCAACAGAATGGCTATAAAGGCTGTTACTACCAAACAGAAATTCAAAGCCTTAGCATGATCTGCTCTTTACAGCAGTCTTTTTGAATAAAATTTGTAATTTTGTAATTTTTTGGTATGGTTTGTTGGCAAGTTTCATTGCTCTATTGTTTCAGTTTTCCTACATCTATTTTACCTTCAAATGAAATGAAAGGAGCTATAGTATACATTGTATCAAACAGTGACTCAAAGATGAAAAATAAAGACTATAAACTTCAAAGTTTAGAGTGTTAAATGTAGCAATAATTTATATAATGTTCGGTTTTTGTTCTGCACATTTTACACTGCAGACTTGTAAAGTTTTTATCCTAGAATTTCTGTGGAAATGTTTCTATTTTTGCATCAGATATTGAACCTTTTTTCCTAAATTTGATATATAATGGGTTTTTTTGCACATGTGCATTCTTCAGTTCCAGTCATTGCAATCTGTGGTAGAAGTGCAGGCAAGCTACTAGAGTCTTAGCTTGGCATCAGTGCTGTCATCACTGAAGTTGCTTTAATACCAGACCAGTGGCCAAGAACTTCACAGAAAATACCTACTTTTTAATATGTATTTTCAGTTAACGGATAAATATATTAATAAGACTTTTTAACGGTGTTTTATTACAAGTATGTGTATTAGAACTATCGCATTTCGTATTCTAAAGAAATCACTCTTTTTCATTGCTTTAACAGATTGACGGTTGCTTAGCTCAAGATATTGCAGCTTGTTTGCTTGAGTGTTTTCATTTGGAGTTAATTAAAATGCTTTTGTTAGTTGTAAATGACTGGCTTACCTTACTGTTCCCTGTTCAGGTTGTACAGTTCAGATTGAACGACGTAACTTAGACGGTCACCTGGCAGTGTGTGAATATCGGAGCCGTGAATGCCCCAACGGTTGTGGTTACACCATTCTCAGTGCAGAAGACACGCAGCATAATTGTGTAGCAGAGCTAAGAACCGAGCTAGAACTACTTCGGTACAAATCTTCTGTTTCTTTGATGTTTGTGTTAGTCTGGGCCTAAAATCACTGCATAAAGCACTTCAAATACTAGCATTGGATTCCGGTATGTGTTAAATAGTCTGTTAATTACTTGATACTAATGAGCCAGAGTATTATTATGTGTCAGCATAGACTTTAAATTCTTACTGGTTTGATTTTTTTGCTGGGGTTTTTTTTTTGGTCCAAGTTATTATAAATCCTAAAATACCATTGCTTGCAGTTGAACGAAACTGTGAGTTGACTGTATAAAAATGACAAAATACCTAACAAGAACTGGGCCGAAGTTAGCAATTTCATTTTTTCCATTGGCCTGATACAGACCCAAAGTGACATTATTTAATAATTATATTTAGTTTATACTTTTACAGATCTCAAAGATAAAAATCTCTAATCTCTAATTATTTTGGCAGATAGAGACGGGTAGATTAAACCTCTGAGGATCTAATTTTCAAATTTGATTAAAATACTGACAGATTAATGACAGTTGGTGAATATGACTCTTATTACCGGCATCCTCTTTTTCCTCTTACATATTTCTGTAGCTTTCCCTTGCTATGATATTCCAGTTGGACTGTTTTGGGGTTTTTTTTCCATGCTTCTTCCTGTTTCTATCTTTGAACTCCCTAAGCCTTGTGCTCTTGAACATTGCTGTGAAGTCAGGCTCAAATCTGTTTTAAATGCATTGAGAGACAAAGGATTCTGCTACCTAGTTTCTGAACTCAAAAGGCTGTTACTAAAGCTGTAGTAACAGCTAGGTTTTGGCTGTATCTCTGTGGGTCATTAGGCTATAATAGTTTACTGCATACTATCACTTCGTGTCCACCATAAAAGTAACAAAATTACATGTTTAGCACTATTATAGTATTCACACTTTTTATCTTTACTACCTATGCTTAGTAATACTAAGCAAGCACATACTATAAGTAAAAGGCAGTAAATCATTTAAAAAGTCATGAATACATGGTCTTGAGCTCATAGAATTATTTCAGGAATATAATACGGTTGTCTCCTGTATAGGCTGTCTGTGGTCGCTTCAGTGCCCTCTGGGCACAATGCACTTTTTTTTATGCTAGTTTTATTTAAATTAATAAATAGTAGTATCATACCTCTAGAGAGGTGTCCTGTAGAGTATGATGGGAATCAGATCAGGCTGTTTGGCTGCAAGAAGGCATTTTGGAATTTGAAAATCATGTTTTTTCCGTGCTTGCAAGATCTTACAAGGAGAAATAAACTTTTTAGGTCAGAAATGATCTGCAGAGTGGAGGAGGCAAAACATGAGATGGAGTCAAGGTTAGATTCACAGAGAAGGCATATGGTCCAAAAAGAGAGTATTCTGCAAAATGAAATTGAAGAACTAAAGGTAAATATGATTATTTTATTTTATTTTATTTTCCCCTCTCCTAACAGTGTAGCCTTTTGCTTTTCCCAGTAGTAGTCTCTTAGTTTGTCACTGTAGTCTCATACAGATGAGAATTGCATTAAGTATGGAAAGCAAAAGAGGGGTTAGCACAATGCTTTGCCTCAGTTAATCAGCTCTGTTGAGAAGCAGGCTGAGCTGAGTGCTCTATCTGTGTGGTTTACCTGCTTCAAATTCATTTGGAGCTAACCTGATACCCCTGTACGGGGGCTGCATTGTTCTGCGCACACATAGCGTGTCGGCAAATCAGTCTGAAACTCATTTTCAGTGTCTAAACGTAGGGCATGCATCACAAATTTGATGTAATTAAATATCCAGCTCCTTTTTTAGTGCTGTGCAAAGTGGCTTAATTCAGTGCTGACACAGAGCCCTACTGGAGACAGTGGTATTTACATGGTGGTTCAGCTGCAGTCAAGAAATTAAAAAGTTGCCCTGTAAACTTAATCAAGTAACGAGTAAGGCTGTCTTATCTTTTCATTCATCCAGTTCTTACTATATCACAGAACAATGATTTTTAAAGCCCAAAGCAATGCATGTGCTTTATAGTTTACATTTTTGTTTTTACTGGATTTGATGTTAAATCCTTGAAGAATGTATCTGAACATAACCAAACCTTATTTTGTTTGGGGTCTTGAAATACAAAATTTAAGCAGCAACTGGATAAATCCACTGTTTCCTATTATACTTTATAATAAACTTTTTGCACTTTTAGGAAAACTGTTTGGGAATCTTTGAAACCAGACCGTCTCAGTAGGCGAATGCTGGATTGTGTCTCAAATTGTTTACATTTGTTCTGCTGTCCAAAAAAATACCATTTGTGTTGCTTATTCTTTGTAATCCTTCACCTTACGTGCATGGCCTATTCAACTTCATACCATCATCATTAGAAAAAAAGTTTGTTTCTTGCAGTAAATTTGTATTTGCATTTCAGAGTCAGATGTCACGAATGATGTCAGATGTACGCTCTCTGATGGCTGCAGAGAGACAGCACCGTCAAGAGCTGGAGCAGGCAGAGCTGGAAAAACGGGAATTAATGGAGCTGCTGAGGGGGCTGCAGAAGGACTGTCGATTAACTACTACAGAAGGAAGCAGGAAGTCAACAAATTTCCGCCCTCTAGCACGACTAGAGAGTGTAAAACGAAAACCTAGGGAAGTTACAGTTATCTAAACAGAAGTAAGCTCACAAAGCATTTTTTTTCTAATTTCTGTGACCATCTGGCATCTTTTCTACTTTCTATGAATGATTGGTAAACTGTGTATCATTTCTGATTTACTTGCTTTCTTTTTAAATCTAGTTTCCTACTTTATTTCCTCTTGGGGCATAAAAACAAACAGGGGAATTTTCTCTTAGGGAACACTGGGCGTTAAAACCAGTAATTGGCAAACAGATTTTTAGCTAGTGTTTTTATAAAAAGGGGGAAGGAGACTTGATTTGTTATCTCTTGAGTGCTTCGTGTACAGGAGTCTTTCAAGCCTGAAAGCTAGAGCCTTTTCAAGTCAAAGATACTTAAAGGTTGTTTCCTTCCTGGTCTATTATAGTCCATTTAAGTCTAGTTTATGCTTATACTTGAAACAGAAGGAAAATGTGGTCATCAGTAATGACATTTGGGATGTACTTAATTTTGGGAAAAGTTGGTAATAGAATTGAAAGTCAGTAGTAGAAATTAATAGATTTTGTTTGTTTCTAGTCTATAGAAGGTCTGTTTCAAAGGTGGAAATAAAGCACTTTAAATTGTAGTTCTACTGGTATGTAACAGTTTCAGGTGGGGTTGACCTTTACTTTAGAGCTTCTCTAATTTCCCAGGCTGATACACACTTAAGAGACCAATACCAAAGCCCGAGGTAATAGAGTAATCTGAAACCTTTTAAATAGACGTGTGAGTAACCTGGAGGTTGTGGGAGGGGGATCTGCATTTTATTCAGAAATTTGAAGCTTTTATATATGAAAGTATCAACTATTTCTACGGGGTTCTTTAAGCTTAAGACTAGCCCATCCGGTACTCAATCTCTTTAAAGCATATATCAATACCTTGAGTATCCTTAATTTTCTTTTGGCAGGTTTAAGGCTACTTGACCGTTAATATCCACAACAGACGAATATTTGCACAGTCAGTTGGACTTCGGACGTCTTTATTAGTACTGAAGTTTGCAACTGTGTAAGAGCTAGGGTTTTATAACAGATCCACAAATACTGAATCAAGGGGGCATTTATCTGTAAGGACTACATGAGAAATCTGTATGGTTCAAAGACTTTTCTCTCAACTTCTCACACAGTCTGTTCATGTTGCTTTCAGTGCTATAAGTAAGCCATATTCTGTCCCCTGTTGCAGCTCTTCAGTGGAGTAGCTAGGGGAGAACCTGGCCTCTCATGTGCTAAATCAGTTTTGAACTTTCAGGAAAATGCGTGCAGGTGCAACAGTCTGAATCAGCTAATTTTATAGTTTAGAAAGCAAAGACATTGCTGTGCATGCCTTGCTGTCACTCAGAGCAGTGCTTTTACGGCTAATGGCGTAACCAAAGAGAGAGGCAGCAACCTCCTTTAGCACATACGCTACATTATGAAGACTTGCAGTCAGAGCTGTCTTAATTTCAGGCATTAATAATTCCTTTTAACTTGCTGTTTCTTTACTACTGCTGAAGCAGATGTGCACGTGTTCAGGTCTGATGCATATAAAAACTGACAGAAATAACTGTTCTGTAAAAGTTTGTTTTGTTTTGTTTTTTCTGAAAGAAAACATTCATAGGAAGAGTTATGTCCAAATATTTACTTGTTTTCAGTCCTTATATTCTAGATTAAATCAGGCATTGACTGTAGCAGTCTCACCAACTCATGACATAGCACATCTCTTAAGCAGCCATATTTAACAATCTGAACCAGTAAAACAGTTGCTTTAATTTGGGAAGACCTTCATTCACACTAAACATTCAGTGGTCAATTGACATCCATCAGTGTGCGTATTAAAGCTGTAGGTAGAAAGTAAGAATGCTTTTATTATCTTGTGTTCTAAATAAGGAAGCTGTTAGTGTCTGTGCTCTGTGTGACTTGTACTTCAGCATTCACACTAATTTTGAAGCTTCTTGGCACCACCAGATTTCACGCTAATAGAATCGATGTGTTTTCAGGATGTGCTTTTCTGTGTACTGTAACTGCGTGGTTCCGTGATGTGACTTTATCTACTTTGCCTAATGTGAAAGAAGAAAATTCCTTCAAAGTCCTGTAGAACTCGGATGAGCTGGATCATCTTTCCCAAGTTGGAGGGCAATAATGATCACCCAATCTTTTCTGTTCTGACCACAGAAAAAAGCAAGTTATTAGCTCTGTGCTTTCTCCGTAATGGGATCTCTGCATTTGTTTGTGTTAGGAATTTCACCCACTTATTTATGACCAAATTTCTTCTAGTGTAGGAAAGAGGGTTTATTTAATATTTACTTACCATTTGGTCTGCTGTCTGTCCCCTAAGTGACAGACATGAAACGGCGTGAGAAAACGCATCCTAGGTGGTAGGGCAAGACTTTCTGCTGTGCAGCCTGTGTAGCTGCCAGCTCTGGAGAATCTGAACTTCCACTGTTGAAATGCGGCAACACCTTGGGCCCCACTGCTGCTGGCATGACCTGTCATTTGAGTTTTCTTTAGCAGCGAAAAAGCACTTGCCGAGATATTTGAAATGGGCACTTACTAGCTAGAAGAGCTTCAGGTCCCTCCAGTTACTTTAAGCTTAATCCCATTTCTCAGTGTTGATAACTGTTGTACACTTAAGATTTTCCTCTGCTAATGAACCGC